ACAATAACAATACAAACAATCCTCAGGTCGACAACGATGACTAGCCGCGAATTCAGAACGTTTTCCCGATTTTCCAATCTAATCGCCTATGCAACTCCACAATGAGTCGACTCAGCGAGTTAACTCGGTGAATATTAATTGGGTTGAGTCGATTCAGTAAGTTAACCAATTCGTTATTAGCTATTACATTTGTTAGATGTTTAACTTTAAGGTTTGCTAGAATGTTGCTTGTTTTCAATCATTAAACATTTAGCAATACGTATTACCGTTAAACAAAATATTATCCGCTATTATATATGTTAGATATCTAACAATGAATTAAGAAAGATAATTTGAAATACAAAGATAGTCATACTAGCGTACAACAAGAWATTTCTATAGTGRATTTGATCGGAAAAGATGATGATTCACTGCCAAACACCATGAATCTCGCCAACAAAGCCAAACATTTGTGGATCCCACATCCCATATTTGCTATTATGGAATGAAATCAAATAACTAATTTTTATCGGCTATAACATATGTTAGATGTTTAACATTGAGTTTGGCTAATCATGTTATATGTGTTCAATTTTTAAACATCTAATAATATATGTTATCGATAAATAATATWWTATCCGTTATTTTATAAGTTGACGGTCTAACAATAGATTTARAAGCGTAGTTCRAAATTCAAAGATAATCATATTAGCGTGYTTATAAGACTARTTCAAAATKTGAAGATAATCATATTGACRTGTTTGTATCCTTAATARCTTTTTAAAAGTAATTATGTTGTCACTATYTAGACACAATTCATTGTTAACAAAATAACACTTTTTGCTAATTAATGTGTTCAATAATTAAACATCTAACGATACATATTACTAGTAAATAAATTGTTATCCGCTAATATACATGTTATAAATCTAACAATGAATCAGCAAGCGAACTTTATTAGAAAGTAATAAATATATCGAACATATTTAATCAATAGACATCTCAAAATAAAAATTATCGCTAACTCAATTGTTATCTGCTATTATATATGTTAACACTACAAGACAAATTTCAAATATCAAATGAATAAAAAAATAATTAGCGACTAATAAATTCACTGAGTCCATTCAAATCCAACATACTGAGATAACTCACTGAGTCAACATAGTTTAGTCGGATTCTCGTTGGATTTTTGGCGGTTTTTAAACATATCCTCGGAGTTGTACCGGATTTCTTTCCACCATCTCTTCTCTTTGACTTCTCTTTTTCTTCACCCTCAACCATCTACATGAACTCTCCTCTGTCGCCGTCACCACCCATTTCGCCGCTAGCACACTCTCCTTTGCTATCACCACCACCATCTCATCCCCACCGTAAAATTGATAAATGACTGATATTTCTTTATCATGTTTTATTCACAATTTCGAATGAA